GATGTCTTCCGTGAGGGACACCAAGCCTGCAGCCTTCACTCGGACATCGGCCTGTCCAAAATGGGCTTTCAGTTATTCCTTTACTCCATCTGTCTTAACACATTATAGGAGGCATTAGGGGAACAGCTGACAGCCAGAGTCCTCGGCCTTGAATTGAAAGTTCATGGATGGTTAAAAAAAATGCCATCTCAATGCAACATAGTGTTTTGAAATAACACCATGCAGAAGGCCATGCTTGTAAACCCATACTAGGGTGGAGCGGAGGCGGGCAGAGAAGGTGAACTATTTATTTCAGTGTCAAGGGTTCAAAGTGGAAATGAATACTTGAGTTGTGAATGGTCAGCAGGAGGTCATCTGGTCGGTAGGAGCTGGCCAGTGGGAAAGGAGCTCACAGGTCGAAAGCAATGAAACAAGGCTCTTCACCGCGCTGGAGTCGGGGCGACCTGGGGGGGATTGCTAAGAGTAAAGCCAGGGTGTGGGCAAAGTGCTAGGCTAAGAGGTTTGCAGTTCATCCTAAAAGCGATGGGGACAGAGATCAATTTTGGTCACAATAAGCACATGAGCAGTGTCCTTACTCAAGAGCAACACTGCAGTCAAGACTGCCACCTGCCACCGAGCTGATTCTGACTCATAGCGACCCTATAGGACAGAGCAGAACCACTCCTTAGGGTTTTACATCTTTATGGTAGCAGGCAGCCTCCTCTTTCCCCTGTGGAGTAGCTGGTGGGTTTGAACTGCCAACCTTTCAGGTAGCACGACAGCTTAACCCGCTGCATCAGCAGGGCTCCTTATACTCAAGAACCAGAAACCAAACTCACTGCCGGCAAGTCAGTGCTGACTCATCTCGACTCTATAGGGCAGGGTCGAACTGCTGCTGTGAGTTTCCAAGTCTATAACTCTACGCAAGAGAAAGCCTCGTCTTTCTGTGGAGGAGTGGCTCCTGGGTTTGAACTACTGACCTTGCAGTTAGCTCCCCTGCGTGAAACCACTTTGCCACCAGGGCTCAAGAAAGGCTTTGAAAATAATGATGGCAACATATGTACAAATGTGCTTGAGACAATCGATGTGTGGATTGTTATAAAAGCGGCAAGAACCCCCAATAAAATGATCATATCATCATCATCATCATCATCATCATCATACGGCTTTGATAAATACACTCATTCTGAGGAATCAATGACTCATGGGCTCTCAGGTAAAGAAAGCTAGTTCTGGGTCAAGCTACAGACAGACAAGGAGTAGTAGGTGGGAGAGGGGACAGCATAGTAAATAAATAGAGCTGACGCCGGCGACTTTCGCTTTAGGAAAAGGACCGTTCTTAATTCCTGTTTTACAGGAGATAAAGCGGACAATCCTTTCCACCGCTCAGGGGCTTGACTTCAGGCTCTGGCACCTGGCTGGGACAGTTTTGGGGAGCAGCACCCTCTAGAGGAGAGAGTGCGTGCGTTTTGGGTGGGGCAGCAAAGAGCCGGTACCCAAGCTTTGGCTTGCTTCCTTCCCCGGAGGGCTGGCCAGCTCGGGGGTGGAGCGTGGTGGATTGTTTATTTGCTTCTGCTCCGCACCAGCGGGGCGAACAAAGCTGCTGGGTTGTGGGAGGGAACACCGCCTCTGGGAGCAGATAACAGCTGGAGGGGGCGGATCGAAAGGCCGGCAACAGGGGCACACAGCCCGAAGCAGCAGACAGGCTAGCCAGGAGCGCAAACCTCCAGTGTCTGTGAACCGTCCTAACTGAACTCTGGCAGCCGCCCTCGCCTTCTCTATCACAGCGTGATCCTCTGTACAGAGCGCTGAGACCCGACTGTGAGCCTGGGGAATTCAGTAGGTGCTGCAGTTAAAATGTTCTCATCCAGGAGCTAGAAGACCTGGATTCTGGTTCCAACTCTACTACTGACCTGCTTGGGCCAAATCTCCTTGAGCTGTAGTTTCTAAGTGTCTTTCCTCCGTGCGTCGTGGTGCTGAGGCTCAAATGACGTATCTTATAAACTTTGAAGTGCTATGTAGCCATAGCTATTTGGGAGCCATAAGCAAGACTCTCCTTGAGTCTCAAGAACTCCTGTTCCCTCGGGTATGTAGAATCTACCTTCAGCGCAAAGAAGGTCCAGGCCTTAGATATGGGACCCGATTGCCTCACTAAAAAGTTTGGAGGTGGGAGTAGAGGGGAGGGAGGCCGGCATAGCAGATGTGCATCTGGGTATGTGAGAGGATGTCTGCCCTGGCTGGGCTGCTTGAAACACACATTCATCTGATCTCCCGGCAGCTCATGGTGCATCCAATGTTCTCAGCCTTCCTCGGCCATTGTCCAGTTCACGGCTGCATACGAGGTGACTGAAAATAGCGTGGCTTGGGCCTGTGGCGTGGTAGTGCTCATGGTGACACCTTTGCTTTCGAAGGCTGTAATGAGATCCTTAGGAGAAGATTTGCCCCGCGCAATACCTCATTTGACTTCTTGACTGCTGTTAACAGAGGTGCTGATTGTGGAACCAAATAACATGAAGTCCTTCGTAGCTTCAATATTTTCTTTTCATCCTGATGCTGCTTATTGGTTCAGCTGGGGGCTCCTTTGTTGGGCTTATGCTGAGACGGAGTTCATCAGTAAGAGCGACAAGCCTTCCTCGCTTGCAGCAAGCAAGGTTGTGTCATCTGCAGATCACAGGCGATTGATGTCTTCCTCCAGTCCTCACACCAAGTTTTTCTTCATAGTCCGGTTTCTGGGACTATTTTTGCTCATCGTACAGATTGAATACGTGTGGCGAAAGGATACAATCCTGACATACCCCTTTTCTGACTTTAGACCATGAGGCATTCGTTGTTCTATTCAAATGCCTGCCTCCTGGCCTATGGACAATTATGCTTCGTCTCTCTATAATTGTGTGTAACTGTGTTCATGTGGAACCTGTACAGGTAAACTATGCTTGGTCTTACAGATAAGTGCCTTCCCCTCCCTACCCAAGTCATCGCAGTGTTAATTCTTCATTCTGGAATCCTGCCTAGGATCACTATCTTCCCTGTTTGCCTGTGATTTGTGAAACGCATTTCATTTTTGTTTTAAAAATAAAAATGATGTTCAATCATCATCTCCAACTTTCCAGTACTTTTTCTGTCTCTTAATAGTTCTTCAAAAATCTCCTCCTGAGGTTTCGCATGTTCTCTTCGAGGGTTAGAAGAACAAATGAGGAGGCATGCCGGCATGGACCCTTCAGAACGGCACACAGACACAGTCTTCGTTAGCAGTAGTCCCCTGCTTTATGTCCTGCGCGCGAAATAAGAAGTCTTCAGTCGCCTGATGTGCAGAACGTCCTTTTTACTCCAAAGTAGACCAAAATATTGGGGAGTGGGTGGCACCCAAGTCTCACTGAGTGGTCTCACTTGGATGAAGCGTCCACGTGGCCTAGGGGGAGTGGGGGTAAAGGGCATCTTGGTTGGCTCTGGATATTCTTGGGATTATCATCCACTAGGGATCTCCAATTCAGTGGGCACTTGGGTGGGTGCGCGATAGGCAGGGAGGAGCCCCTGGGGAAGACAGGGTAGGATGACAGTGTGAGGAAGTAGGAACGGAATGGTTAAACCTTCTTGGAATAGAGAATGGGATGGGCCTCTCTGCTCCCCAAGAAGGGTCCAACTCCCCAGATATCACCTGGTACTGTCCCAGAAGGTTTGGCCATCAGATCAAGCCAAGGGCCTGAGTGATGAAAATTCTTTCTCTGCTGGAAAAGTACAAGTAACTCATTGGGCAGGGGTTCCAAGCAACTTGTTTTAAGTGAATAGTCTCTGATTTCAGTTCCTTGTCCTACTTTCTACTATCAGGGCAGTAGCAACCCTGAATTTGAGCTTGCACAAACACAGTCACTGACTAGTATACATTCCTCATTCTCCTACTGCTCCCGAGCAAGACAATGTTGCCACCTACCAGCTGGCGTTTCTCCCAGCCCTTGGGAAAAAATGGCCTAGTGCTGCCAGGAGGCTTCAGGAAGTTGTTTCTCCAGCACCCATGTTTATTTCCTCTTGTTCGACCCTGCCCGTGCCCTTCCCAGTATCATTCTGCCCTATCCTTGACTGAATTTCCAAACAGGATGCAGAGAGATAATAACAATAAGTAGAGCTTGGACGATGTAAAAAGGCTGGCAAGGACAAACACCATAGCGGGAAGTGGCAGAGAGGCCCTCCAGTAGCCCAAATCTCTAATGCCTGTGAATGCACAGCCTGAATGCTGCATGCTGTCAGCTCTGTCTCCGCTCTGGTTCTCTAGACAGGGCTCCACAGGGACCTGAGGGCATGGGACCCAGGAGAATTAGCCTGGGCGCCATCAGAGCAGTTGCTGCAATGAAAATGTACTGGACCAGGAGCCAGAAGATCTGGGTTGGAGACTATCGCAAAGATTAAAACAAATATATTTTTTAAAAGGAAAGTTTCTGCTATTTTTCGAGACAGATGAATATCTTCGTCTCACAACTGGGTATGACGTTGGGCCTCGGGAGAGAGAATGGAGAAATCGAGGGTGGGCGTGTGTTCAGGAGGGCTGGCAACTGGAAGGGCTTCAGCATGATATCTTCCCGTGCGGGTGCCGGCCATTCACGAGGGTGGGGAAGGACCCTAGTGCAGAAGGCGAGATCCTCACGGAACTGGCTTTGTGGGGAATGGAGACCCGGGGAAGCCCCTTTAGCCTCACCTCTCCCTTGAAGGAAGTGTGAACTTACAACTCCTTCGGTGCCTCGTCCCTTCTAGGTATTACCCACACCAGGCTGCCCCAAACCTTATGCTTACTGAACACGCGTCTCTCACCTGAAAAAAGGCGATGCCGTTTTCATCTGTGACTAGCACCTTGCACGGTGCCTATTACACAGAAAGTGCTCAATACCTATTTATTAATCAAAGAACAACAACAACCCTCCCAAACCCCCAGATGGCACCAAAAGTCCAATTCCTTCCTCCTTCCCATGGGTGGTGGCTAGAGGTGGCTGGAGTCAGGTAGTAACGCCCCTGTGCTGTCTTCCTCCTTCCAGATGACGTCCGTAACCAAGGTGTACTACAGTCAGACCACGCAGACAGAAAGCCGGCCCCTGGTGGGCCCCGGGATCCGGCGGCGGAGGGTCCTGACGAAGGATGGCCGCAGCAATGTGAGGATGGAGCACATCGCTGACAAACGGTTCCTCTACCTCAAAGACCTGTGGACCACCTTCATTGACATGCAGTGGCGCTACAAGCTTCTGCTCTTCTCGGCCACCTTTGCGGGCACCTGGTTCCTCTTCGGTGTCGTGTGGTACCTGGTAGCCGTGGTCCACGGAGACCTGCTGGAGCTGGGCCCCCCGGCCAACCATACCCCCTGTGTGGTGCAGGTGCACACGCTCACGGGAGCCTTCCTCTTCTCCCTGGAATCCCAGACCACCATCGGCTACGGCTTCCGCTACATCAGCGAGGAGTGCCCTCTGGCAATTGTGCTTCTCATTGCCCAGTTGGTGCTCACCACCATCCTGGAGATCTTCATCACGGGCACCTTCCTGGCCAAGATTGCCCGGCCCAAGAAGCGGGCTGAGACCATCCGGTTCAGCCAGCATGCGGTCGTGGCTGCTCACGATGGGAAGCCTTGCCTCATGATCCGAGTGGCCAACATGCGGAAGAGCCTCCTCATCGGCTGCCAGGTGACGGGCAAGCTGCTTCAGACCCACCAGACCCAGGAAGGTGAGAACATCCGGCTCAACCAGGTCAATGTCACCTTCCAGGTGGACACGTCCTGTGACAGCCCCTTCCTCATCCTCCCCCTGACCTTCTACCACGTGGTCGACGAGCACAGTCCCTTGAAAGATCTCCCTCTGCGCACTGGCGAAGGGGACTTCGAGCTGGTGCTGATCTTAAGCGGGACAGTGGAGTCCACCAGTGCTACCTGCCAGGTGCGCACGTCCTACCTGCCAGAGGAAATCCTCTGGGGCTACGAGTTCACACCGGCCATTTCACTGTCAGCCAGCGGCAAATACGTAGCTGACTTCAGCCTGTTTGACCAAGTGGTCAAAGTGTCCCCTCCAAGTGCCCTCTGTGACAGCAGCGTGCGCTACGGAGACCCAGAGAAGCTCAAACTGGAGGAGTCCTTACGGGAGCAGGCTGAGAAGGAGGGCAGTGCCCTGAGTGTGCGCATCAGCAACGTCTGATGCTGGCGTCCCGCCTCCCCACCCCTCTGGACTCTTCTCCTCTCTCTTTCGGCTCTGGGTGAGGAATTCTACCCAGGCTGACTGGAGAGCCCAGAAGCACCCGTCTTCCACTCCCTTTTCTTTAACCCCAGTGGCCTACAGGTAGCCTAGGTCAATTGGGGTCCCAGTTTTCCTCCCATTATCCTCTTTCGCACCCCCCACCCCAACACATGCACCTTCCTTAGCCAGGATGGGGGAGGCAGAGGGAGGGTCAGGCTGACGTGGCTCGGAAGGCCTCAGCCACGCTTGGAGACTCACATCAGGAAGGCCGTGCAGTTGGCTGGCGAGAGTCCCCGGTCACCATCGGAAAGTTTGGTGACTTGAGCCTGGAGCCCCCTCCCTTTCTACTCCCCTAGCAAATTCTCTCAGGCAAGACTCTGCCCCATGGCTATTTTGGGGTCTGCGCTGAGAAACAGAGATATCTGGAATCCTTTTACTCTGGAGTCTCTAGAAACCCATGCTGAAAGGAGCCAGTTGTTTTTTTTTCACTCTGTGATTTCCATTTCAGCTTCTGATTGCCGCCGTTTCCCTCCCGGTTTCCCGAGTAGGGTACCTCTGCTCCCACACATGCCTTTGTCCCCACAAAGTTGGGGTGCATCTGAGACACACAGAGCACAGACATGGCCAGGGCCCATGCGGACTGGATAGGAGACCGGCAGGGCAGACCCCCTCGGAAGGTCAAACCCACTCCACCACGTGGGACGGGCGGATTCTCAGCCCGCTATACCGAGCCTCTGGGCAGCGGTGATGCCTTGCTCAGGTTTTGGCTGTTCTCCCTGCCACCCTCTAGTTACTTCCTTAGGCCATGCTGGGCGGAGGGACCCGATGGAATGGCCTTGGGCTCCTTTAGACGTCCATGAGACTTGCCCAGCCTCCTCTCTTCTGTCCTTTGCCGGAGGCAGTTTCAGGCTCAGAATACATCCCTAAGAGCAGTCTCTGGCCTTTCCTTGTCCCCTGGTGGGGACTGACCCCCCTGTTCAGGGCACGGGGGATGGACACTAGGACTTTTTCTAAAAGTCCAGATCTCAAAAGTGCTTTCTGGCTTCATTTAGGTAGCAAGGAAGCCATTCCCCTTCCCCCCATCCCTTACTCCCTACCCCCAAAGTGGGTGATAAAGCTTATAGTCTGAATGAATCAGGTGCCAATTTATGTGAGCTGGACTCAGCCAATGAGGCCACACGCTACACACAGGACAGGCCCTGGGTGCCCAGCCATGCAGAGAAACCCAGAACAGTTTGAGGCTGGTCTGTGGTCCCCACCTGCTAACTGCACGAGACCCTCTCGTGAGCTCAAGTGTCCCCGTACTATAAACACCACTCTCGCGCTCACTCACCAGTACAAGGACCAGAAGAACTGGGACCTGTAAAACAGAGGACAAAGGCACAAGAGCCCTTTTTGGGAACCCCTAGTTTATTCCACATTAGCCTCATCGGAATTCTTCCGACGTGTTCAGGCAAACTGTGCTGCCTGTGTGGTCGTCTCTCTCTTCTTACCCATTAACAAGTCACCCTCCATCTAGTTCCTTCTGCATGCAGCTGCTCCTCCCTGAAGACATGACCCCTTTCCTGTTACCCTGCTGTCTACTCCACCGCCAGGCTCGCCTCGGCTTCTTGGGTCGCAAAGCGAGGAGAGGTCTATTGGACCTGCCTCCACTATCCCAGGCGTGGCGCCACGTTGCACTTTAACTCACCCCGTCCCTTTAATGCAATCTGTCATCTTCCCCCACAACCCCCCTACGGAGCGAATCCTCCTTCCTTGCCCACCGTCCACAAACCCTAAATGGTTCTCAAGACTAGAACCCACATCTCCTCTGAGCTAAAATGCTCTTGGCTATAGGACAAGCTTTAGAAGGTCTGCTGAAAAACGAACCCCTGACTACACACCAACCATCCACTGGGGTGTTGGACAAGCACCAGGCCTGGAGACCTTGTGGGGAGATTTCACCAGATGAACAAAACACACGATTGGGGGTGGGGTGGGGTGGAGGGTGGGGCAGAGATGCCTGGGGTATAAAGAGAAGACAAGATGGATCTAGTGCGATCGAGGAATCGCTGGAGTCTAACTCATTTCCTTAGCATGACTTGTATCGGGCAAGCAAACAAGTGGGGGGAGAGGCTCAGGGTATTAGAATGTAAACTATACACGAAAGGATTATCTAAACAGAAAGAAACAGAGATAATATATAAAGAGCTGTATATAGATGTATATAGATGCCCAGATAGACTGAGTGTACAGAAAGGATATATTCAGAGCTCTTAGCACAGGGACATTGACCCTGACTGGGAGACAGGGAACCTCCTGACATTCAGACTTACGGCCAGTGCCCCTAGCTTCACGTTGGAGCTAGGATAGCCGATGAAGGCTCTCAGGGGTCAGTGTGAGAAAGGTAAGGGTGGGAGCGGCTCTTCAGAAAGAGAGGCGTCCGCTGAGACCTTTGGCAAGCTCTGCACTACTGAGAGGAGCAGGAAAATCGGGGAGAGGGCCTGGGGTGGGGAGAATCTACTGTTTGCACTGACTGCCCCCATGCTCAGCAGTGTCCCGTTGGTGCTGCTGCTGAAAACGGCGACAAACACCATCCTGCTTTGGTCTCTTGTCTGCATTCGAAGCATTTCCGTCATTTCCACAGGGGTGGGGGCAGCTGCCCTGGAGGTGGGGACTCTGAGAAGCGGAACACTTGGTGTGGGGGTGGGGTGGGGGGGTACATAAATGGTAGCCTCGACTCTAGAACGGAAATATTTGCCTGAACAATTGAAACTGGAGTTGCTAAGCTCGAGGTATTTCCTCATCAGAGACTTGGCCCTGCTTTATGGCTGTAAGAGTCCAAAGAGAACACCGTCCATGCCCGGCCTTTGAGCATGGGGGTGAAGGGTGGGGGCAGGGGTGGAGGGGGGTGCGTGTGATGATGCTTTCTTTGGCGTTGATGCTTGTGTGAAAATGAGAAGCAGGTCTATGAGCTACCCCAGAAGGTGGGGCAGTTCCGTGAGTCGCTTCTGCAATCCCTACTCTGTGCCCCACCACCTGATCTCCCCAACTGCTCCTGTCAGCTATTAACATCACCCCCCCCCCC